GTTGACAATTGTAATGTTGCAGAATGCAATTAATCTTAAAACTATTGATGGAAAATGTAACCTCCTTTGTCACTGTAAAAAGGTTTCATTATTATCATCTCAATCCATTTCCTAATAATGTACAATTACCACTCTAGAGGAACAGCAGCAGTACTTGTGATGGGTTTACATATCATGAGACGTTACTGTTTAGAAATATTCTGATGTCCTTATGGGAAATTAGCGTGTGTTTTATTTCTGCATCATTAGGGTTTGGACAATGTGAGTGATTTTTTTAACTGGAAGGAACTATCCTTTTACATGATTTCCCTTCTGGTTGTAGACACCTGTGACAGTTCAATGTGAAATGAATTTGGCCGATTTCATCCATTTCTCAGTTCCACAGGACTCTTGCACAACTAGTGAGGGTGCAAAACATAAATATTCATGTCGGTGTGGCTCATGGAGTTTATGGTTACAGTACATTTATTGAACACAGAAGACCGAGCTTGTATGTTTGTGTCCAGCATGTCTCGACTGGATAATTAGCACCATAAGTCACACCTAACAATATATCCAAATGTTGTATCCAGATTTGGAAAACGTGAACTGAAGCCGTAGAATACAGCTCATATTATACTTATGTCAACGTTTGAATGATATAAACCAATTTGAAAATCAGATACCAGTACTGAACAGCTGATTATTAATATGGAACTGGAGGTAGAAGAATTGCCTTGAATTTAAAATAAAGAACAAACATGTACCGGTGGTGAAATGCACCATTATGTGTGAATTAGGAACAAGGTGTATGATTTGGCTCTAGGGTGTGTCGAATTATTGATTTCAGACGGTACCAGAGTTTAACTAAGATCGATGCCCTCCAATGACTCCTGCTGGGAGTACGGATTGCAATAAGCAAGGATAGATTCGGATCCAGTTGTCATGGGTTTGGGGGTAGAGAGAGTTAAGTGGGGGTAAATTGGAGGTGGAGAACATGAAGGAAATAAAGATTCAGACTGCAGCATAGCCATAAACTTTCACGGGGCAGGACCAGTGCAAAGATCCACTTCACTGAACAGAAATCAAAAATGCAAAACCTCTTTCTGTTTGCACACACTGCCTTCATTCCTGCTAATGGAATAAATTTAGTTGTCAATTTTTTCCCCAGATTATGCATCTTGCCATGTTTACAGCCCAAATCACACACAGTCACCTTCTGTGTAACATGCTGTATGACTTCTGTTATTTGTGGAACTTGCCAAATTTCAGCAAACAGCAGAAATAAACTGTACAAAATGTTTTGTTGTGGGAACTCTTCCATTCTAATTAAAAGTAGGCAAATATGTGCAACAGAAAATTATCGTGAATACTTTACTGTGAATTCCTAATAAAATGATGTGGCAAATGGGTTCGTCACTCAACAGGCATTTGGAATGTACGATTTTTACATAATGTTACTGTTGCAAATAGATATACTTATCAGACCATCTGCTTAAGATAGACTGTGTTTCAGTCTTGGAATAATATTTCTCCATATAAATTCATGGAATGCAGGCTTTTGACAATTTCTATCAACCACTCATAACATTCCTTCCTGCCTCATTCGAGCCGGTAGAAAAAAATATCAATTGAGCGGTGCACTACATGTGCCCTCCTGTTAAAAGATGACAGATAGGGAATGAGGACTTCAAAGTGAACCACAAAGGGTGGTGGGGGGGGGTGGGGTGGGGAGTTGGAAAGAAAGATTGCAGATTGAACTTTTAGTCTTTACCCAAGTAACAGTGGACTTATGCCATGCTGCATACATCACTGGAATGCAGTAATTCAACATCTGTGCAACTTTGTGACAACCAAGCTTCACCCCAGTTTGAAAACCGACCAATACTTTATGATCATAAATGCTCCTTGTTCCACAGACATTTGCTAACAAAATAAATAGTACTACACTTTACAGTGAAATCCTGTGAAGCGCTTTGAGACATTCACCCAACGTGAAAGACGCTATACAAAATGCAAGGATTATAGAAGATTCTCATCAAATTTTGTATTAAACGAACAAAACTCTTTTCTGTGTCTGTAAACTTCAAGATGTGCTAAAGACAGATTACTATCATCTGTTGCATCAAAGAGGACAGTATGCAATTTCATAGAAGATTGGAATCTAATATGCGAATGCAATCAAATGGAATCAATACTGTTACAGTTTTTTATCCAAACCGTAATAAAATGGACATATAAATGTAAATCAACACCTGTGGACACCAAAACCTTTCCCAGGAGTCGCCAGGTTTATATTTCATAAGCAGTTTTATCCAGACAAATGCACTTCGATACGATATATAAAGGTTTGTGATTATTATTTTTCAGGAAGAGAGGATGCCAATCATTTGTTTATTCTAAAGTGGAACTGGTTCAATTCACAGTAAGTCTGCGTAAATAGGAATTCAAATTGAAACCAGTATGCTTTGTGTGTTGTACCAAAGTGAGTTTAAAATAACGCCTATTATGGTGTGCAAAGGAAACAAGCTGATCTGAATGTTTACCTCCTGAGTTGGCGTCTTAGAAATGTGAGATACAATCACAGCATATTAAATGACAAAGAAAATTCTGATGACTTATGTTCAGAGGAAAGTACGTGCCAGTGTTAGATTCTTACATTTGTTGGAAAAGAACAGAGACCATATCTAGGGTTTTAATCTGGGACATAGAGCAAGGAGTAACACCACACCACCACTTTTTTATATCATTTCCCACTTTATCTTCAATAGATGTATGTAAATTAAGATAACGGTTCCCAGTTCACAAGTAATTTTTATTCCTTTAGGGCATAAAGAGGTCAATCACGACTTCCTTAGATACTGTTGGTAACGACTGATGCAAACAAATTTAATCCTCTATCAGTGGCCTACGGCTAACTACAATTTTGTTTGGTCGCCTTAGGGGCTTAAGTTCCTCAATTATAATCACAAAATCTGATTATGCATTAAGTAAGTCTCCTATTTCTGTCTGGTGTGATTGTTATCTCTGTGACTTCCTTCATATGAACCCTTTTAACCAACTACTCCAGCATAACAAATCATTACGTTATTCTAAAACAAAATCACTTATGTTTTAGTTTGCTTCTTTGTAAAACAAATATGTTTTTTGCTTCAAAGATATTGCTTCCTTTTCGAACGGATATGAGAAAACCAACCTGCAATTTAGTTACTGGTAGAAGCTAAAGATTTGGAGCAAATACAATCAAAATGTGTGGAGCTGAAAGGATGAAATAATTCCAGTTTTATATTCGAAAGATGTAATGTCTAAGGAATCTCACAATAGTTAGTAATAAAGTTTAATTCAGCACCTTCACTGATGATGGAAATCATCTACAATCTGAATATAAAAAATATTGCTGCCAAGACCAATAAAAGATCATGGTGTAAATATGAATCTCTGTAAATGTTCATGAAAGTGGTCAGTAACATGCAGAGGGCTCAGTTTAATTCCATTACTGCTACTGTTGTTTACAGCCCAGTGTCACAGCACAAAGCTCATGCCCAATTCAATATCATGATACTACTGTTTATTGCTTTAAACAAACATCTCGGAAGCTGTGGTCAAACAGGACTTGAATGCCTCGACGTCCTGGAACAATCCCACTGACACTATATCCCATCCATACTTGGCGAGTTTCTTTTCCTTGTTATTTAGTCGATGTAGCGGTCACAAGTGGTGCATCATTACACAGATCAAAACCTGTGAAGAGAATATGTTGGTGGTGATCTTTCACACCCCGAACACATTTACAATTCCATTCCACAACTACTTACTGGTGAAACACTAAACCTCAATGCAAATTCCAATATATTGGCACCACAAATTAGATAAGGACGCAGCACAAAAATAGAATCCTAACCTGAAATGAATGTAATTCTCATTTCTAACTGTTTAATCTTAAGGGTTGTGGCACCCACAAGGTATCAGAATGCTGCAGATAATGACGCAAACTGAAGACTACGCGGTGGCAAGAGGAAAAAGAAAAGAATTGCCAGAATATCCCTGACTTTATCGCTGAAAGTGTTCCATTACCAAACAAGTACGACAGAACTAGGTTGAAAGGACTAAACATCATCATTAATATGCAGCAAAAGGGCATCTTATAATAATCCATGCATTTTGACAATATAATGCTTGTCCCAGAAGGACCAACCCAATAAACAAAATGTTTACAAAAGATACAGTGCACATCTTTACAGTCGAGATAAATGCAGACCTTTGTTCAACTATGGCACAACCTTAACAGGGAAAAATCACACTCACTCAACAACCACTTTATTAGTGTGGATAAGGGAGGCAGGGAGTTCAGCTAACCAATGCCACAGCAGAGGCTGATTTTAATTAAAATAAAATTAGTTTGCCACATGGAGTACCTCGTAGTGGTATATTGTCAGTTTTAAAGAGTTTCAAGCTAACAAGTGATGGATCATCTGTCCCATACTATGCATGTACAGCAATAATTGAGTGAGTTTCAAGGCTGTGATTCAATCGAGGTCTGTGAGTAAAGCCTGCATGACTCAGGGGTGTTACCTGAACCTAATGATTAGTTTGGGCCCTTCCATCATATGTACAACAACAACAACAAGAAAATGACATTTGTATAGCGCCTTTCACATTGGGAGGACGTTCCAAAGCGCTGGACAGACAGAGTTACGGACCCGAGCTGGGGGAGGGTGGAGGGCAGGGGGGGTAGCAGGGAGATAGAAAGCACAGTCGAAAAGGAGGGTCTTGAGGTGGGTCTTGAAGTTGGCGAGGGAGAGGGTATATTTAGGATATACACCAAACATTTTGCTCATTATTAAGCTGCATTTAGTTAAAGGCCTGTGTCTGAAAGTTGTACAAATATGTTGTACACAAGCTGCAGATCATCCAGAACTCTGTAGCTCATGTCCTCTCCCGCACCAAGCTCCGAGACCCCATCACATCCACCCTCACCCAGCTCCACTAGAATCCAATGAGCCAAATTCTGTATTTTCGTTCTACCATCTTTATTCTGCAGTAATCTTCCCAAGCTTTCCTGAGGAAAAGAAAGTGAAGCAGTTTTTTTTGGCAATGTATTAATGAAATAATCCCCATTTTCTATCGTTGTAGACAGATAACACAACTAAATGGATAAATCCTTACATTTAGTTTAGATTATCAAAGGTGGAACAGTCAGTAACCCTGACAAAGTGTCTCTAGCGGCATAATGAATGCCTTTCTTGCATAATTTATTAATCCTCCTCTTACGTTTACCATTCACATACAAGTGATTTCATTTTTTTCCTTTGTAGCCTTGCTGACACACTATAAGATGTAAAACTGCGGAACTGAGATCATGGACATTAATTTGTGGAACACACTCTGATGCGAGGTTGCAGACATAAATCTCACATTGAAATACCACTGCCTTACATCCACGCGCTGCAGACCATACACATTAATAGCGGCGTCACCCCAAGACCTTGAAAGGCCAACCTGTGAAAGCTAAATGTTCCCTTGGTGGTTCTCATTTCATCTGCTTCAAATGTTTTTGCAGTAGTTAACATATATTTAAAATTTATACAATTCATGATCTGTAAGCAGTGCAGCTGCATATATTGAACTCTTTTTGGCAGCTTCCCAGGTGGATAAATGCACTGCATGATGTGGCACTGAGCCATGCAGACCAAGAAGGTCCTAGGTTCAATGTGTGGTCTGCACTAAGATAACCAACTTCCTTCACCTGGGGCAGTCACATTAGCTTCAGCGATGCATGACCTGAGGGAACGTGGAAAAGGTCAGCCAGGACTTTCACTCTTGATCGTCATTCGGTGACCTTGACTGAAATGGACATTGCACAAGGTCAGGATCAGGCAAAGTTGTGAGAATTACCCTTGTTAAATAGGCTGCCAATATTCCCTGCCCAGGTTCACACTGATAGAATGGCCAGTGGGGGCTGTTGTTCCATCCCTCCCGCCCCATGGAACCATAATGAAACTTAGCCCCAACTTTCAGAAAATGAGGTGTAAGAGAGGGTAGTGGTGTGTGTCTGTGGGGAGGAGGGGTGCAGGATTGAATGAAACTGTTTTTATATTTTTGGAAAATGCAACAAAGATTCAGAGTGGGCTGAAGACATTATGAGATAATGTAAATGTAAGCAGCTAATTTAACTTAAAATTCGAAGCACAAAACTGAAGGGAACATACACAAAATTTGGCATTCAGAGAAATGCTTTCCCTGCCCACCAGCAGATACTTGGTATAGTCTTCCATCAAAACCATTCAATGTTGCAATGATTAACTCCTTTCAAAACAAGTGGAATAAATATCCAGTTATGAAAAGGATTAACAGTTGCATTTCTAATTATAAATCATACACTGTGAGGGTTCCAGTCCTGATAGGGGCCTGGAAATGACACGTGTGATAGCAGGTCTGTGTTGATTAAATAAATGGAGCCAAATCCATAGTAACGTTTTTGTTTTAGTCAGCTGTCTGTCAGAAGCCCATCACCATGCAAAGAGTATCCAAATCAGACTAGGAGTTCCACATATCTATGCCTACATCTACACAGGGAAATAAAAATGTACCCTGGCACTTTTTCTTAGGAGGGACATGCCCTGTTTAACTTAATTCAGGAGAGTATTATAGGCACAGGTTGGTAAGAGCCAAGGCTTGGGGACACCAGTAAATGTGTTGGGAGCATTGCTGGAGTTTAATCAGCTAAAACTGCTTAGCTAGCCATTTGAGAGTGCTGTCTGGCAAGCTTCCCGCTACCGGTCAGCTAGAACCACACTACCCTTGGCTCACAGGGTTAACAAGAGAGAAGCTGGAACAATCCCTGCTCCAAAGAATTGATCTGTCCCTCCAAGTCCTGCCGAAAAGCCAAGCTGGCTAATCTGTTATCAGCAGTGCCCTGGAGTACTACGGACATGCCTGGCTCAGGAATCAGACTACCGAGACCACCACAGAGGGTTGACACAATTCTAACATGCCATTGCCAAGCTACGCCACCTTAGAGCCTGTTCAGCTCCAAGGAGACATCACTTAACTCCCTTCCAAAGAAGAAAGTCCATAGTAGTGTGAACCAGAGCTGCTTGGTTGGAATAAGCAGGCTCAGTGGACTGAATGACCTTTTCCTGTTCTGTTTTTCGATATTCTCATCATTACAAAATAATAGATTTCAACATTTCAGTTGGTATAAAAAGAATGAATCATTGCCAGCTCAGGATGTAGTCCATTAATAAGATGAATATATTATAAAACAATGTGTCTGCATTGGTATGAGGGACATGGCATTTAACCCTGTGATGACTTGTATTGATTCCAAACTATAACCATATTGTAGTTGTCTTATTTAAACCAGATGCACCTTAGATTTATATTATTTTATATTTTATGATGTATGATGATGATGCCGTTAAGACAGAATGTGCCACATTCAAAGGGTTATGAACAAACATGTTTCTCGCTTTATGTTTTTCAATGTTACCACATGTCATGCAGACAAATGGCAGCTTTGAATTTTTGCTTCATTTTCATTGTTAGAGGAAAACCATGCAACAAAATAACAAAACTATTTTTAGTCAGTAAGTGAGAGAGGAAAAGGAGATGAGGAACAAGTGGGTGGTTAGCAAGAATATTAGCGTAGTTGTGAAAGAAGTGAATATTTCTAACTCCTCCAAGAGCCTACTCAGACTTCTTGATGTCATGGTTAAAATGTTTCAGGACTTATTTGCTGTACTTCTTAATCTCCCATTCAAACTGTCGGTGCTTTCAACTGCAAACAAGCGTGAGGACTGAATTATGCTGTGTGACTCGAAATTCTGTTTTAAAAGCCCTTCCACAGCCAGGCCGTGCTAAACCAACCACAAACTTGTTGCTCATTAGAAAGAAAATATCATAATGACATGCTTCTCCTGCTAAAAATACTTTTTTTTCTTGCCAAAAACAAAACGTGTAATAAAGCAGTCCTCAATGATCTTGTTTAAGCAAAACAGAAAACAGAACCTGGTTGTCAAAATGGAAATGAATACAAACGGAAGTTAAATCTGAAATGTTTATCTGTCTTTACCTAATGCTTCCTTTGTAATTAGGATTGTTAATAAAAAAAATTACAACTGGCTCCAATTTTCTCGTTGTAAATCCACCTCCCCTTGGGTTTTGGGAAATTATCTTAATGGGGGGTTTACTTGAAGTTTGCAAGCTGGACGTAGCTGCTTAAATTTCTGTGGATTTGAAAAATTAAAGCGTTGAGGGTTTTTTTTTTGCCCCCATTTGTTTCTTTCAATCTCCACCTGAGGGGGAATGGAGCCCATTCTGAGCTCCATGACCTCAGCTGTTACCTCGCCAGGGTGAGAGACGCCAAGACTGCTGCACTGCCAATGGCTCGGTTCCTATTCGGAAGTGGATTACCCATGCAGTGAAGGCGTTTTGATTTGGGAGCTAGCAATGAGAAGAAACAATTGGAAAATCAAGTGATGGGTAACAGCGGTTGAGAAGTCAGCAAATTTAACAGTTTAGCTTACATTTCTGCTCTTCTGCATTTTTAGAAGCTGTCGATGAACTACCAAAACACCATGTAATCTGCTTTGAAATCATGCAATTTCAATTAGTATTATTATGAACTGTTAGTTTTGCTATTTTTCCTCATATTATGTTGCATTTATACAAGCTGCGGCGCATTCAGAGGAATTATGCATGATTGTCGTTATTTTGCAATTTTATTAACCTCCGTGGTACAGCTGGTGTACATACCAACTAACTAACTAAACATGCTGCAGGGGGGAGTGGTAGCACTTCCCTCTTTCCTCATGTTTACCTACAATGAGTTGACTATTCCAAACAAGCACTCTGTGGAGGCCAAACATGTCCCCAAAGGATAGAGGTGAATTTACAACTTGGCTAAGATATTGGTTATATGGTCAGGGATCAGAGTTGAAGAATTTCTTTCCCTCGGAGTCTCTTCCAACGGATTCACTACTGCATGAAAAGAATTTCTCATTTCAAATCTCGCTCATGACTTGATCATTTTAAACATATGTCCTCAAGTTCTGCACTAACAATGTAAACAGTTGGTTTACATGGACATCATCTCTGTTTCTCAGCATTGCAAAGACCTAAATCACGTCACCCTCTACTCTTATTTTCTCCAATGAAAACTAGTCCAGCTAACATTCGTCTTCCCTTACAACTTAGAGCCCTAAGTGTGCTCCTCTATATACTCTCTCTAATGCATCAATGCCCTTTTAAAGAGAGATCATCCAAAACTGCACACAGTATTTCCAATGCAGCTTCACCAATGATTGACACAAGGTTAGAATATCTTCTTTCAACTATTCAAATATCTCAACCAAGTATTTGATTAGCTTTGTTGATAACAGCTTCATATTGATTTAAAAACGTTCAAAGAATGATCAATAACGCCTAAATCAGTACCGCCGCAGTGCAACAATGCTACTAACCGAACATGCATTTATATAATATTAATGTAGCATACTTATTAAGCAGATTCAAGCAGGAGCATTTTTATTCTTTTTATGTACTACCCTTTGCTAGTTATTAAATTATTCATAACTATATTTAACAGCAAAACTTAATAAGTTTTAGCAATAAATAACAATAAAAAGAAGACCATCAGTATGTGGTGTGAATCTCAGAATACAAATACTGCGGTTAGTACAGAGAATTATTGACCTCAGATGAATTTTGCAACATATTCTACATATAGTGTGCTTAGAATCTCCCTTTGTACTGCAGTAGTTCTTTTTATCATTATTTTACTTTAATTTATATACATATTTATACAGGATAATCCAATTACCCAAGAAGCCTAGTCTCTCACAGTCTCATATTCTCAAGATAATTAAAAACAATAAATTTACATGAGGCCATCTAAAAACAGAATGCTAGACAATATAAAAACTGTAAGATATTGTAATGAACCTCTGTTTTACTTATTAACCAGAATTCCCTCCCTTGCTTGTGCTATGTGCACTATAACTGTTCCACGTTTCAGAAAATGTAATTGTTCATTCTCAATTACTCCTATTTCCCACCACCCCCCCACCCCCTGTTCCTATTTTCTGCATGATTTCTTCCCTTGCAGGCTACCACATGCCCACCTCCAAGAAGAGAAACCAAGATGGTCCCTGCCGTCAATTTCTGCAGGGCTTCAATCAATGCTGCTCTCGGATCAGCCAGCAGGAGATGAAATTCACGTTCAGAAAATTAGATTATTGCCAGATTTCTCCCCCGCACCCTTGAAATGGAATGTCCTGCAATCCCATGGTACTCCATCCAGCAACACAGCCAAAAACTGACAAGTTAAGGTGAACGAGGTCCAGCATCCCCAAGTCAATATATTTTGAATAGGAGTCAAGTCCTGATCCACTTCCACTACTGGCCTGCTTAAAGCTGTATTTATATTCACATTTACATACATCAACGTCATTATATCTTTATTATATTTATGCACACACACGTACACACGCAATGCCCCACATCAATGTTTTCGATGAGAACTTACAGTCCTTTGCTGACACAAAATAAAACATTTATGGTTACATCTGTAGAGCATGTAAACGTTTTAAACCACCACAATCATTGGATACTTTGCCTGTACATCTAAGGAGTTGGGAAGACCATTGATCTCTCAGGCAACTTAACAGAAAACTGAAAACAGTTGTGCGGTTTTGGGGCCCAAGAATTTAAACTAATTACACCATTTGGTTGGACGTCTTTGGAAACAGAAAGCAACAAATGATTGAGGAAGCTTTGCCGTGCTTTCAAAATATTTGCTGAATCCCAAATCTGTGTCACTTATACTAGTTTCCTGTGTATGTATTGAGCAAATGAAGCTCAAACATTAGCAAGGGATTCCCCACTCCCTCCATTTTAAGTCACAATCCGCGGAGTTTGATGAAAACTGCTAACTTGACTCACATGCTGGTTTGCATTAGACTGAAACTAAGTGACTAAGTGACTCACTTTACGTGAATCTGCTCATAGTTAAAATCCTGCTGGATGTTCACACTTTGTCAGCGATGTGCTTTATTCTATTACGAATGAGAACTGTCTCAAGTGCTCAGGAGAATATAAAATTCAGCATATCTGCCTGCGGTGTCACTTATTTTTAAATCCATGGTCGGTGACCTCTGAACAGTGACCCAGAGTTACCCTGCTCCTTCCCTCACACACAATATATTTGCTTTTCTTGAAAACTGCAGATGTCAATCAGACGTCTAACAAGTGTTGGACATCTGGATTAGCCTACAAGGGAAAAGAAAGGTCTGTGCCTCCCACCTCACCCTTAATTTGAGATGTGCTGAAATTTCCAGTGAAAGTCTAATGATGTCATTTTTTTGCAATGAAGCATGTCCTGGCTTTTATGATGTCCCGCACATAGCACAGAATGCCAAATAGCAACACAGCCCCCGAATCCCATTCCCAGCGTGAACAAGCCTTAGCAACTGTCCTGCTCGGGATTTTACTGAAAGCAATGTGCGTTGTGTTAATGGAAAATTTGACATCAATCATCTCACCCTGATTAAATCCTACCTCTTGATGGCCAGTTGTAGAATAACTTTGACGAATAGCGATCACACCAAGGTCCACATCCCAGACTAACCCACCCTCATAGCTGGAGGAGGTTGGATCTTGGCAAGAAACCTGCAAAGGAAGAAGAATGGAAGAAAACAGGAGAAAAATGCATGAAAGCCAATAGTGCATTGGTTGAAGCCTTTGTCCCCTCTACGTCCCAGAGAAAATATCTGTACATACCTTTTATTTTATTTATTATTTAAAATATAAATGCAATACTTAATAGGCTTCACAATGGTATTTAATACAACAGTCCTTAAGATTAATAACATTTAGAATTGGAGTAATTGCTTTGAAAAGATATCATGGTGTTATATTATAGTATTTTTGTAATATGGAGAGGAGGTGAAATGCAGTATGATTTTTGGTTTAAAGTATACCAGAATACACGATTACTGAATGTTGAAAATATTACAAAATGACTTGGGTAATCAACAAGTGATTTGGATCTTTCAATTAGATTCTGCAGTAAAACAACTTTTACAGCATTTATAAAATTCTGCAACAGAAATAAAGGATATAGTGACTTTTGCAATTCCTAAACACTAGAAATTATAAGAGATCTTTAGATAAACATACCATTGCCAACTTTAATTTACTTTCCATTTTCTTACTTTTGCCCATCGAATCAGAGTTGATTCCTTTCATATCCATTCTCTGAACCATAAGTGAATGTTCAACCATTTACTTGTTGGTTCAGGACAATGTTAATAAAGCTACCTTGGGGCTATGTTGAAGATCAGGGAGTTCTCCCTGTGCCAATATTTATAGGAGGGAGAAGGAATTAGTGGGATATAGGAGAAAGGATTAGGAGAAGTGGAGCCCATGTATATTTATACAAACACTGGCATGGACTCGATGAGACCATGGTCTGTTTCCTCACAGTTACTATGTACTTCTCCCTCAACCACACAGACAAAAAAAATGTAATCATTGCTGATGTGGGTCATTGCTGATTTAAATTAGTTGCTATATTTACCTACATACTAAACGTGAATACACTAATAACATAATATTGTATGAAGCAGTTTGAGACATTGTAATGTGGGAAGGCCTTACATCAAATGCAAGTTTTATTAACGTATAAACATATGGCTTTCTGATCATGTTTAGCTGGTCCTGTAAAGGATTCAAAAGGAATCCATCATTTCTCGAATGGCTACGTATACAATGGTCTATATGTAAACATATTGTGTGCTTCAGTTTAAAGCAGGCAGGAAACACTTTAGGATGCCATAGATTAATAAACATCAGCTAAAGATCAAGAGGAATAGGAATTAGAGAAGCAGCAAAAGAGAATAAATGCAGGAACAATGACAGATTGAAGGCAACAGGAAAAGAAGAGGTTCCACCTCGGATCAAATAGTTTCAAAATAGTAATAGACAATGACAACTTGCACCTACATATCACCCTTCATGTCAGATAAATTCTCAAAGTGCTTCATAGTGACGGGATCACACACCAAGCGAGGAAGAGATGGGTGGGGGGGGGGGCGGGGGGTGTGGCGATGTCAATGTCTATTAATAGACAGCAATCAAATGAAACAATAAGCTGAGCAGATGGATGGAGTTATTAACCCTACATGAAATCAAAATAATTTCTGGAACATTGTTGGGGGCTTCGTTTTTTAAGCTCTTTTTATTACCACCTTCCAGCCTCCCTGTCTTCCTTCTTCAGATAAATCATGGTGGGGATTACTTTATCATGTTCTCCATCACCTAATCCTTTCTCACCTCCCCACCCCTGCACCCCCCACCCCAGTAATCCATCAAAGAACCTACAAAACATCCGTTTAGTGAGTGAAAGTGAGTTCAAATAACAGTCCAGCCTGAAATTCTGATCTTGATCTGGAACGGGATTATAATAATTTTTATTATTAATAAAAACCCAACCGTAGGATATAGATTATGGACAAAGCAACAAAGATGGAACAATATAAGGTGAAAACTCCAGAAACAGAATGCACAATGTATCTACAAGAAGGAGAAAGTGGGGTTAAAAAAACTAGAGAAAAAGTCACTGAATACTACATTTGTTGCACAACTGAACCATGAAAGTAGTTCAAATAACACAAATGAACAATTACCATGTGAATTTACAGAGATCTCCCTTTAAGATTCAACTGTAATGCTCAACAACTTTGCCAAGTACCATTTATACCAAGCATCTTTTCCAGCTTCATATTATTTTGCTGAAAGTGCAAAAGAAATTTTCCGTTTTAGTCACGAACATTGGGGTCTGGTACGGCAGTCTTTTTCTGTGCACAGCAGAATACTATGAAGTAGTTCCACGGTTGCCACGGAGACGGGTAGGATGCTCGCAGACACTGAGAGCCAACATGAGGATGCGTGATTCTTACATTGCGTCAGCTATGTAGCAGGAGCGTGCTTTTGTTCGTGCGGCTGCCGCTACAGAAACCTTAGAGGCGGTTATTAGGCGTGAGTTGCTATGGTTTCGGCTAGCAGTCATTCTTGTCGACTCCCAGCACTCATTTGTTGGTATTTGTTTTCAGTGCCTTGCAACAAAGTAGTTTCGGTCGTGACACAATCCTGCAGTTTGTACACATGAGGTAGCAAGGTCTTTAATCACTCAGCATTATTGGACACGTTTGTTACGATAATATCAAACTATTATGAGAAAGATATCCTGAAGGTTTGTTTTTATAAGTGTAAGACACAGCCTCTTTAGTTTGCAAAATTTATTTCCACGTTGAAGGAACACAATAAACAACACTACGGGATTCAGTGGCCTGCATCAAGTATAAAGTATAAAGTAGCCCGTAGGAGTTATCAGGGAAACTACAAATGGCCGTTTAGAGTAAATTAATGAAAGTAATGCAGTTTTTAAACAGCTTCTATTCCACAAGCGAAAGAGTCGCCAGGTGACCATAGGCATGTTCGCAACTTCTATCCTTGCAGTTTCAAGTTTAGTCAATAGGGGGTGCTGAAATGGTTTCTGAGTCAGACCCCCACTATATTTCCATTACTCTTGTCAGCTGGGTATCTTGCACTGTCTCAGTGCTGTACCTGACGAACAAGCCAACACTGTCAAATCCCTGTGTGGGAAGCGTCTGAGTATAAATCGTAGCAACTGGGCCACTCAGCCACAAAAGACTACATTTGGCAATATCTCCAGATTCTATACACGAGTACACGATGCAGCTTTGCGATCGGAAAAAGAATAATAATAATAATACGCCTTGCATTTGATACAGTGCCTTATCACGTCGTTGAGACATCTCAAAGCACTTCACAGAATATACTGTGAAGTGAATATTTTGTGGGCAAAAAGAAGCACCCAAATCAATCAAAATCACCTTTTGATGATGATGTTTGAAAGGTGCATGGGAATAATTCTCCCTGAAACAGAGATGCACTCGCAGTGCAAATCTCTCACGGAACAGCGTTCCTCAATGAATCAATGCTACAGATGAAAATATCAACATCTCAAGGACAGAAAGAGGAACTTCATGTCTTCACTGCTCATGAATGAAAATCACCCACAGCTGAGCACATTGTTTTTTTTAAATGTCAGGAAATAGTTTAATGTGACTAACCCTTTTTTCCCCTGAGGTTAATCTTTTTGGACAATATCTTTGCTTTGCTTTACAGGTTGGTCATTTATCACCATTCACTGAGTGAATGAGACAGACCAGACCACAGCTGACTGGTCTATAAGCACCATCCACTACTACCCCATGTTCAAAACAGCAGGAATCAGCTGGAATGGCATTCAACCTGAACAAGTTGAACAGTTTCTCCCCCCCACCCCCAGAAAAAAAAAAGTGTTTTCATCCAGGATTTCATTCATTTCATTCAGGAGGCACTTGAGAAATGAGGGGGTCTCACTAAACTCGAGATAGGAGATTTGATTGACAGTATCTTAAGAACTCCTCCTGAAAAGTCAAACCAGTAGTTTTGTTCTGCTGGGTCGACAGTTTAATTAAAAGAATGCATAAAACTACCCATTATTTGGCACAACTTACTGCCAGAGTAGGGGGAGGGGTGGGGGGGGGGGGGGGTTAAAAAAAAAATCTGCCACGTTAGATCCCGAACACATAGACCTCGACTTCATTGAAGCTGAAGTCAAATCTCACCAGTGTTGGGCATTTGAGAATGATCCGCCCTCACATTTGTTGCAGGTAAACCGGACCGACTCTCAAAGGTGCATTTGCAATGTTAGACATTCCTCGTTGCTCACAGTGGTGATGAAGTTAAAGTTAAGTGTTGTCATTTTCATCTGTTGGGATGGAGAGGGAGAGGGGTGGGGTGGGGGGGTGGGGGGATGGGGGGGAGACTACGAGGATGGCTGTGCCTTTCGCTAAACGAAGTCTGACACGACTCTCCAGCAAATCGATGCAAAAGAATGAACCGCCAAAAATAAAATAAGAAGCTTCACCTTTGCATGTGCATTGAGTTTCGAAAGCAGCTGTGAATTATAAACCCCGTCTCTGGTAACCCAAACTGCGGGGACAGACACGGAGAGAGTTGCAACACGATTTCGGACCTCACACCCGAAGTGTCGCGCACCCCGAACCCGGACAGACACAGAGATGAGACCTCGGGTGATGAATGCTAACGCGGGTACTTCTTAATTCAATGGGGAGATGTCCCGAAGTGTGTGACACAACGGCGCAACACTTGCGACTGACGCCGACATCGGGACACACAGCAAAGGAAATGCCGTAACTTTGCCCCATTCATAAACCCCACACACACACACACACACACACAGCGCACGTTCCTTCCCTCCTCTTCTCTTCCCTCCTCTGTAAGTGCTACGAGTTTCTTATCGGACTTGTGACTTAGTCACACACACACACACACACACACCCCTCGGGCTCTCTGTCTGACCGCCTGGATATACGGGGAAAGGAAACTAACTGCAGGTTCGCTTCCAGATCTCCCATCTCCTCCCACCCCTCACCCCCACCCACCCCCTACAGTAACCTTCTTGACCAGCAGATAAAACCTGTCAATGTTCCTTTCATTCCAGGGTAAAGATCGGACGTGGGGTGTGGAGAGAGGGAGAGAGGGGAGGTGGTGGGGGTGGGGGGGGGGTGGGGAGAGAAAGAGAGAGAGAGAGAGAGAGAGGATCCAGGGGCCGCTCTAAGCCATCATACTCCCCTCTCTGGTCAAGAGATGCTAATTCACGGGGGCTCGGGTCTGTGTGGGAGTGCAGAAGACGGCAATGCTATCATTATCAACCGGATCACCCGTGCGTTTAATGGTGGAGATCAGGAGACATTTGCACTCCCAAAGATCACGATGACATCATGAGCGAAACAGCCTCAAAACGCTTGTCAACTGAGAACGGAGGGTCTGAAACTGAAACGACTCAACTGATTGAAGTCTTCCTCACCCCCCACCCCCCCCCCCCCCCCCCACCCCACACACACACACACACACTCCCCTCCCACCTCCCCACCAGAAAAAAATTATCCACCCACTTCTTCCACTTAACGATCACTGGCAACTTTTCTTAAAAGAAATACATTCAAGTTCCTCCCAAACCACTCACCCCCCCACACCCCCAACCCCCCCCCCCCCCCCAATATACAAACGAGATCAAACTCCTGAGCGATATGTCTCTTCAATATTAAAAAAAGTAGCCTTTTGTTCTAATCCAACACCCCGAGGAGAGAGAGAGAGAGAGAGAATAGTGAGTGAGGTGGTGAGTGGGGTGTGTGGGGGGTGTATCGATAAATATGAGAGACATAGAGACAGAGAAAGTGTCGAGCTTTTAACAGCCAAGAACAAATGATCTTTGCATAATTTAAAGGCGTGAGGAGTGGGGGGGGGGGGGGGGGGTCAGGGTTGGGTTGGGATGGAGTCGGGGGTGGTGGGGGGGGGGGGGGTGTTGGGGGTTTGCAAACTGCTGTACGGTCAAAAAAAAAGCTGCAGTACTCTATTGTGGCTGTAAACAGGGGGGAGAAAAAGCCCTTTGCTGTTTGCTTTGCTGGCTTTGAACTCGCAAAGTGTTCGCTTAAAGCGCAATCGGATTTGAAACTGACAGCGTTACGGATCTCTCTGTCTCTGTCTGTCTGTCTGTCTCTGTGTGTCTCTGTCTGTGACTCTGTTCTCTGTGTGTGTCTCTGTCTCTCTGTGTGTGTCTCTGTCTCTCTGTGTGTGTCTCTGTCTCTCTGTGTGTGTGTCTCTGTCTCTGTGAGTGTCTCTGTCTCTCTGTCTCTCTCTCTCTCTCTCTGGGAAACACGAATTCCACCACACAATCTCACCTGCACAGATTAGGAGGAAAGTTTTTTTGGGGGAAAAGTGGACCGACAAAAAAAGAGATCTCTCAGGCTTACAGCGAGAAGCAGAGAGAGAAAGAGAGAGAGAGAGAGAGAGAGATAGAGGGAGAGAGAAAGAAAGAGAGAGAGGAAGAGAGTGAAAAAAGAGAGAGAAATCCCTCTATTGTGCTAATAACCCCTGAGACCAGCCTTGGAATGCAAAGCTCTCACAAACAATTCCCGTCTAATTGCAATACTTAGGTTTCTGATTTGCAGGTCTGTTAACTTTCTTCTTTTTTTGGAGGTGGGGAGGGTGGGGGGGGAGACAAAAAAAAAGGAGAGATGAGGAGGAGAGGGAGGGAGGGAGGGAGGGTGTGTGTGAGAGTGAGTGAGTGAGAGAGTGAGAGAGTGAGTGGTGGTGGGAAAGGAAGAAAAGTTTTGTTAGCGTTAAGACGTCGTATTTCTTTTTGGGTTTGGCTTTACCTTAAAAATCACGCAACGTTGCCCTCCCTCCGGGAACGGACTTCTGGCCCCTCTTTTTTTTTAAAAAAAAGGTTGCGACAAGTTTCGTAAAGATGCAGTTTTAGGATCAAAATTGGATAAGATAAGAGGTGACTGTCAAAGACGACGATGATGATGATGGTGGTGGTGGTGATGATGATGATGGTGATGTACAGTAGGGTCTCAGTCACAATACTGCACTGGGGAGATTTACTCGTCGCGACGTCAGCGTTACGTTCCAATCCATATCCCTCTCTCTCTCTCTCTCACTCTCTCTCTCTCGGAAAATTAATTAAAAAACGTGGGACCCATTTGCGAACGTGATCCTCTACGAATGCCCAATTTTGCGCCTGGTATTTTTACGCCTTCGAAAAGGTGGGGGGGGGGGGGGGTGGGGGGTGGTGGTGATGGAGAGGTGGGAGGGAGGGGGTGTTCTCAGGCTCAACACTTTTGCCAACCAGCCCCCCCCCCCCCCCCCCACACACCCACCCACCAACACCCCCTTCCCCAAAGGGGATGGGCTGGGGTGGGTCACACACACACACACACACAGAGGGTGGGTGGGGGTGGGTGGGTGTGGGTGGGTGGGGGGCGTTCACAGTTGAGTTGAAATTCCACGCGCATTCGTACAGAAGTCGCGATCGCAGAGAGAGGGAGAGAGAGCGAGAGAGGGAGAGATGACAAATCACGTACACACACACACACACACACACCGCCACCACGATTTAGAGACATAACAGTCTCTAAAGGCGAACAATAAACCACTGAACAACACGGAGAAGCCGAGCAAACACCATCCCTCCTCCTCCCCCTCCTCTGTTGGGTTTTTTTTTACACACACACACACACACACACACAACTTCTTCCTCGGCAACGAGTACTTGAGTGTGTGTGGGTTTTTTTTAAAAAAGAATGCAATAGTTTGGATTTCACTTGCTTTAAGACACACACACACACACACATACACCGGGGTCAATAATAATGTGGGAAACGGCTCTGGTGCTGCTTAATGAACACTGTCATACACACACACACACACACACAGACACACACAAACACAGACACACATACACACACAAAGATCGCACAGTACTGAGATTATTATTATTATTATTCCCATTTCTCCGCTGATCCCTCGAGGTGCACGTCTGCAACAGATGGGCACCTTTTTTTGTGGGGATGTTGACCTTTCTCCATCCTCCTGCGTTACAAAAAAAAAGGGGGGGCTCTTTTCCAAAGAAAAAGGTACTTGGTACCAGCGGGTACGTGTGTCCCACGTTATTGCTTCGGGTCATTCCAAATGCACTGGTTTAGCTTTTGAAACGAGACGAAACATCGTCTTAACTACTATTTACTCCCCCCCCCTCCAAAACACACACACACACACACCCTCCTTCCCCCCCTCCTCACACTCGCTTATGATAGATCAGTAAAGCAGATTTCCTCCGTTACGTTCATACGGTGTGTGAGTGAGTTGCAAAACGATGGCTGTAAGTATTGAACAGGTGTTTTGTTTTTGCCTCCCGTCCTGTGAGGTTTGTCCCTCTCTCTCTCTCTATCCCTCTGCCTTTGATATTTCTCTCTCTCTCTCTCTCTCGCTCTCTCCCCCTCTCTTGTAAAACGCTTCCGATCGACAGTGACATTTATATTTCATACATTTCATAAGTGCCACATAACGTTCCTCAAAGGCTTTTATTTATGCTCGGCTTCTGTTGAAAAGTGAGGGTCGATTGGAGCACAAAATGGCAGGTCGTATAGCAGGCAATTGCTTGTCTCAAGTTTTGACACATGGCACACACACACACACACACACAGACAGACAGACACACACACAGACACACACACAGACACACACACACACAGACACACACACACACAGACAGACACACACACAGACACACACACACACACACACACACAGACACACACCACACACACACACAGACAGACACACACACACACACACACACACACACACAGACACACACACACACAGACACACACACACATAGACACACACACACAGACACACACACAGACAGACACACACACACAGACAGACACACACACAGACACACACACAGACACCGGCCAACCTTCATCCGATTTGCAAATCCTCTACACTCAGGTATCTGAACACACTCCTGTCCAACATCAGCAGCAACGACAACAACGACAGCCACACACAAAAAAAGATTTCCTAAGAAACGTTTCAAGAAAGTTTTAAGTGATTCAAATTCGGACCCCAACCCCCACCCCCACCAACTCCCCCCCCCCAAAAAAAAAAGTTTGGCTAAGTGCCATTTTTTTGCCTCGTGAATAACTCTGGAGCGACCACCACTCAAATTAGCTGCACATTTCCGAACTGGATTGATTGATTCTCAATGAACTGGAGCGACATCAACAATTGTTTTTTTTTTGGTGGTGGTGGGGGGAGGAGGGGGGTAAGGGGTGGGGGCGTAAAATTAAAAACGTTATGATTTTCCATCAGTTAAGTTCTACAGCGCCATTCAATGGCTCCTCGGCTGCTTTTATTATTTTCTGCTTTTCCCCTGACAGCCTGCATTGCAAACGTCACTGGCATGGATATTTAATTATACTGTATTTTTTTTTAATCACGGTGGAAAAAGTAGGCCCCATTGCGCTGCATACAAAAGAAACAAAAAATTAGTACAAACTGACTTTAAATCCCCCTTCGGTTGCGCGCAGGACATCCCCAAATCTCAACAGGGTCCGGCGCATCTCTCTTCTCTTTCTTACCTTAATTTTTTTTTAAAAGCAAAGCGTAGAAGAAACTCCTACACGCAAATGAAGCGTTGTTTAAAAAAAAAAGATTGTGTTCAATGAATAATGAAGCATGTCCACATGATTGACTTGATCATTTTCTTGTGCTGAGGGGGAAAAATAGTGACTGAACATGTCACATTTTGTCCTTTAAAGATTGCCCCTCTTAACTGCATCAAACGCACCCCGAGAAAGAGCGTTTTATTTAATCTGCCTCTTTCAGGATAAACGCGTTCATTGATACTGATCACAGAACATCACAAGACATTCCCATCTTTTAGCTTTGACTCCCCCTATCTGGTAGGTGAAATGCATTGTACCATTAAAAAGCACTCCATTGTCGTCTTCGCATAATTCACAGCAACTAGATAGGTCTTGCGGCATTTAGCTTTGATGAGCCAAAGCTCAAACCATTGATAGAATAACCGTACAAAGAATGTTCTCTGATCTACCATGTTTTCCCAACGTAGCAACTGCAAACATTTAAATACGGCACAGCCCGGTGCTGACCTTGAGTCCTGTAAACACACTTATTAAAATCTATGTCCTATCATTCTTCCCTGTACCCACTCTGATTGTCAGACTTGTTATTCAGACATAACACATCTCTCGCCTTTGATTACCTAGATTCCGAGCACCAGCTGAGCCATTTTCAGCTGAATAGAAATTGATCACCTTTTTTTTTCTAACAATAAAAAAATAAAAAAAATTAATAAAAAAAAAACAGCGTCTTACCTTTTTTTTTTGGGGGGGGGGGGGGGGGAGAGGAGGGAGGGAGAGAAAAAAAAAAAGCACTATCAAAGTATTTTCTTGTCAAGAGTCTGAGGTTAAATCCTGGTGGACAGTGGGTCACAGCATCAGTCACAGCTCCGACGCTTAAGAGAAGTAATCAGCGGTAAAATGACGCTGATCTCCAATGTAACCTTGTCGCGTATTTAATGTAAATAAGGCAGTTATTTTCGCAATCGCTTGCGTACAAACATAAATGTCTTCAGCGGAGCTTTTTTTTTACTACTCCAAACTGACATTACACACACACCAACTGCATACGAGAGTAACATTTGATTCAAAGACCGAAAATGTTTTAAATGAACATCAAAATAGAATTTTTCCTAATTAATCACGTAGCTAGCAAGGAAATTAGCATACTGTAATTAAACTTCCAGAGAGAGAGAGAGAGAGAGGGAGGGGGGGGGGGGGGGGTTGGGGGTGGGGGGTGGAAGAAACCGTCATGGTGGTTTGTATGCGGGAAAGGTTTCTGGATCATTTAAAAAGATTCATCTCGATTTTCTACCAGTAAACTTCTTGGATCAACTTAAGAGTCAGTTAATTGCTGGTTTACTTTCTGTCAGTGTTTCGTAGGTGAATGATATGGAAGAAGTGAACAAACGGCAGATTTCCTGCAGTCTGGAGCGGGTTATGTTTCTATAGCGTTGAATGTAATAGCAAAAGGCTGAATAATGCAATTATGGATTCAGTGTCCCTTTTAGTTGACAAAAAAAAAAGCTGGTGCTCAATAGAGGCTTTGTTGTGGGATTATATAATGATTGTGCTGTAATTATGGGAAAACGTTTAGGGATAATAATGCAAAAAAAAAAGTATCAAAATACCCGAATGGGCATCTTGTTTTAAAGCGTGTGTGCTTGAAATGTGACATTGCTAACATGCTAAGAACAAACAACGCATGATTTTGAAAGCTTGACAATGAATAAAGACTCGTCTGATGCGCATGATTAAAGTCAACACAGACAGATCATTCAAGATGTCGAATTGCACAGTGTCATTCGAGCGTTCTTGCAGGTAAAACCTGTTTCCATCTTTGAATGACTCACGTACAAATTAAAATCTGGATGCAAATTGCTTTTTTGTTGTGTGTGTGTGTGTGTGTATGTGTGTGTGTTTTGCCTCTCAGAACCATAGGCATTTATAAATACCGCTGACATCAACAAAGCAATTAGGGACGGAACTAAATAAAAGCTGCTAAATCGACACAACATATTTTGGTCGAAACTTCCTTCATATTTTCGCGAGGTTTGAGAATGGGAAGCGCTAAAAAAAAAAAAATGCGGGTTTCTCTAGAACTGATCGCGACTGGACCCAAACCCTCCCCAAACCCATTAGCAACTCCAGGCCCTCGGAATTATGCATTGAATTGGCTATTGTTTGTCGATTTGTTGATTTGCAGTGCGTGTGAAAAAAAATCAAACCACGATGTGGATGGAACTGAGTGAAATTCAGACTCGCAGGGAC